ACTAGAATCGACTTGAAGAATTACTCTGAAATAAGAGTTTCTTCATCACTGAATTCATCTCCTATTTCTGCGCGGAGGTACTCATCACATTCACCATTTAGTTCCAATTTCGATCTGTATTTCACCATGTAATTTCATACGACACTTTTGCAGCTCCGCAGTTCGGTATCCATAAAGGTACAATACGAAAGACTACTTACCGCAATGAATAACACACTTAGGGTGGAAGTGGACCGAAGACACTGCAGTGACATTGAAAAAAAGATAATGATACGAAGTATGTCGGCCAATTAACATGCTGCCTTTTGTGATTGAATGAGGTGTTACTGGGTTACTAAGATACTTTGTGATTCGCTAAAAATTAATGAAAAAGTTTGTGTATTGCCCACATTTGCGTTAATGGAGCAATATCGTTATAACATATTTATTTTTATAGCAAGGCAATCAAATTCAGCAAAAACAGATGGTGATCCTGACTTTCGTAGCTGAGTATACTGTCATTTCCCAGGGTGGTTGAGATAACGCAGTTGATCGGAAGTGTCCTGAGCATTGAATCATGCTCTGATAAAGTCGTGCCAGCATTTAAGCTGTTTAAACGGTTAAAGCGTTTCGACTGAACGATGTTCGGTTGGGCGCTTTGTCTTGCCTTAATGTGAAGCTAGCTGGAACAGTAATAGTTAGAATGCATAGCTTTGTACGTCTTGTTTTTATGCGTTTCTGTCGAAAGTCACTCAGCAGTTTTTCTGTACATTGTCCGTTTCATCCTGATTTCTGTAAATCACGAAACTTCGTATTACTTAAGTTGCTCATGCCAAAATGCGAGGGAAAGTTTGCAACTGTTGAAGTCTGGATGGATCTTTCATTGACATTTCGAGTGCCCTTCCTTTTTCGGCTTTTCTTACTGCCTCATTTTTATTCTAGTGCCGTTAACTAGAAAAACCGGCAATATTTGCAACTACAACTTATGTTATTTTGTTTTTGCTTGTGTTTCTTCTATTCGTGCTAGACATCAAAATGAATTTGAACTTTCAACAATTATCTGCATGACGCGTGCATCTTCTGTTTCCTATAATCACACCGGCACTCATTTCAAGTGACAGATATCATTCTCTGCTTAGTGTAATGATGACAGAACTGTACAGGCTTTCATAAGTACACTGCGTCAGGTTCCCCGAACCTCACCCTCCAGTTAGCTGATTTTGTATTCTTCGACATCCAGTAAGCATTGTCTGTCTTAGCCCGTTTCCCTCAGGGCTCCTCCATCTTGCATTA